TATATATATAATTAATTAACTTAATTACTACTTACTATACAATAATAATATATATATATAATATATATATATATATATATATATATATATATATACACACACACATTCAGGAGAATCTAGCTCAAGAAATGCTGAAGGTAGACTTGCTAATATCAGGTTGGATGGGAAAAAAATTTTTTGGACAAATTTATTATTGAAATATTATCTAACAAGTGAAAAATGTACTTAATGTTATTAATCTTTGAAAATCCTTTTAAAGGGGAAGTTTATATTCCTCAGTCAAAAATTAACGTAGTTAAAATTCACATATCTGACTATCTTGCAATTGTCACTAATTCGTGTGGATTTGATGAGCAACCTAGGGATAGGAAATATGTAAAACTACTGGGCCTGTGAAAAAGTCTTGAGAAAATTTCTACAATACTAAGAAACTTTTATTACCATTAAATAAATAGCTGATGTGAAAAAACTTATTTATTGCTTCATAGTAGTAGAGAAAAAAAACTTGTTTCATAAAACTTAAGTTTTCTTTTTAATACTTCTCATATGACAGTCAAAAATATAAAACTGAAGCACAGAAAAACAAAAAATCATGTTTTGTTACAAGGTATAAATACATTTAAAGTGTTAGAAAAGCAGAAACTCCAGAAAAAACATTTGCTGTCTTTAAACAATAATACAAAAAGAAACCTACCTATAGAGACAAACATGTTTTGCAGTTTTTGAGGTTCTTAAAAAATTAAATAACAGAGTTGTGAACTCTTATTGTTAGTGGAAAATTTTATGGAAAGTTAATTTGACAGTGAAATAAATTTTAGAATATACAATTTTTTTTAAAACATTGAACTTTTTAGTGCTGTAATTCTTGGACCACACTCTCATGATTGGTCTTAAAAAAAAAAAGATTAAATATAAAATTACAACAAATATTTATAGTGATGAAGGGTTTATCTATATATGACCATGATTTTGTACTTATTCTGGCCAATACTTAACACCTGACAATGGTGTGCATGTGTTGTCAGTGGTCTAGAAAGTGCTATTGTTCTTACATAGAAATATGTTACTTATATACATTTTGTTTGTGCACATTAGTAAAATAAAATTGAGAATAATAATATCACTTATATCAAATTTCAAACATTAATACAACAGTATAATATGAAATACACTCCCCCAGAAGTCTAGGAAATACTGGGAATTAGAAAAGCACACTAAAAAACCACTTGAGTAAAACCATAAATAAAACACACCTCGAACAGTTGAGACTGCTGTGGGAGTAACCGGGAGACGAACAGAAGGATGAGTCACTAAAAAGAAGTTGCTTGATGTATCAGCTGCATTACTAACATATCAAATTGGTCAACAAAACAATTTATAAAAGAAATGAACAAGGACATGAATGACTTGTAGGCATGGAATCATTCTTTCTGGTTTAAACCAAATTAAAAGTATAAATTATTTAGTTAATAAACATGAGGCATACACTTACCACAAGATATTTTGCTTGTTTCATCAGATCATATAAATGGAGTGTGTTCAGATTGTTTTATGTTTAAATCAGGATTTCTTGTGTTTTGAAAATATTTGAAGGTGTAGAATGTTTTACAAGTGCAATAATGTAGTAGGAATGAAATCAATAAATATTTCCCAATTCTTTACAAAATTAAATTACCTAAGTACATCATAAAAATTCCTCCAATGTTAAGGAATAAAAAAATACTATTTATGCTATAATGGTACCAATATAATTTATATGAGCCATGGCTTTTTATTAAATTTAATGCATGATTACATAGAGTTAAATATAAATTTTACATTACTAGCTTAATCTAACAGTTTCATATCACATAATAAAGTGTTTGATATTAAAACAGAAAAAATATTTAAAAAAATTATAAGAACATTTTATAACAATTTATATGATATGTAAAACTTATGATTGTACTCTACTACTTTAATTAAGTAGCGTTTGTTTTTTTACAGAATCTGTTTGAAAAACATAGTAATTACAGTGAATGATGAATTCTGTGGACAACTTCCTTTGAGAACTTGGGTGAGGAATGACTTTTTGATGCAATTTAATTAATTTTTTTATCAGGTCCCATGAAAATTCATTTAAGTGCATTGAAATGTCACTCCAATTCATAGTTCTCCAAAATGAGAACAATACAAAAGTAAAATAGTGTATATATATATTGGTCTTGAAAAAAAGATTAAAGAACTAAGAACTAAAATTCTGGGACTTTAAGAGGTTTCCGAGATGTAATTATTCATTTTCCAGGAAAAAAAGCAACTTGACTTCTTTTCTTACAAGAAGCATAAGTACTGACTCAAAACTAATAAATGTGTTTCATAATTATTAAATGGAAGTATTACAATAAGCTGGAAGTTTAAATTCTCATTATAGTATTAAACTTAATGAGCATACAAAGCTTCCTATAAAATACATTATACATTAATAAATGATGCAAATAAACATTATCATCATCATGTTAACAGTAAAAAACATAAAAACCAATATTTTTTGTCACAATGAAAAGTAAAATCTTTATTATTAATTACAGCCGACTAGTTTTGGATGATTATTAATTAAAACATAAAATAAACAGAGCTGTGTTTTTAATATATTCTGTTTATTATTATTACCATTGCCTCATATTATTTCAATTGTCTATAAACAACTGACATACTGCTGTCCAAAAGGGACAATTCTTTAGTACTCATAAGTTTGTTTCTTAATTTTCAGACACAAGTGCAGTTAAATCCAAGAAGAGTGATTAAAACATTGAGGTTAGTTTTCCAGCTCAAAATAATATCATGATCAATTTTTTTTTTAATGAATTCCACTAACTCTGGATAATGAAATAACGTTGCTGTTTGCCTGGGGAATCAAAAACGTTTTGAATATTAGGTACTTTGCTTGATGAAATGCAAATTCCTCGTTCTAAAGCTGATGTTTATGGCTATAGATACCTCACATAACATAAATAATTGAAAATATTACATAACAGTGATGTTAATAACAGAAGACTCCACATATATATTCCACAAGTATCAATATCAATGTGACATTATTTATTATTTCATTAGATCTGGTGAGCTTTTGACGTGTTAGTCATATAATCAATACTTTAATGAAATATAGGGTTGAGAAAGAAGCAACAGTTGCCTTGTCAAGTTTTAATTTATTATTCTGGTGAGTAAACAATTTAATAATGGGTTATAAGACAGGAATTAAAATAGTTAGCCAAAGAAGAAATGATTTATATGCTGATGTTTTAAAATTTGAGTGTTCCAGGACTTTGCAAGGCCTACTGAGTACATTATAATATTTCTAGGACTCTTCCATGTTTTTCAGGACCCTTTACAAACCTTAATACATAAGCAATTTTTTCACATTTTTCATAAAAGGTAAACTAATGAATCTCCTACCTGGAGAAGAAGGTTGGATGCTAGGAGAATGTTGTGGAGTTAGAGGTCGCAGAAGAGTTTGTTGTGGAGTAACAGCTACACCTGGAGAGACAACTTGGGTCTTGACAGGTGTGGTTGGGGGTGTTGAAGTGGTTGACATTACTGGAGACGGTGCAGGCTGAGATGGAGTAGTAGGCACTGCAGTGACTGGCTGAGCAGACTGGGTTGGAGTAGTCTGGCTAACTCCAGCTGATGCAACACTTGTAACTGGTGGCATGTCGTATTTTTGAAGTTGGAGCAAATATGCATCCGCTTAAGAAGGTAATTATGATAGCAATTAAAATTAATAACAAAATGTTTTAAACATCCTTAAATACATTAAGGAATGCAGATAACTAAACTACTTTTGATTAAAACATAATAGAATGTAAATAAAATGATTTAGAATCCCAGGATTTGTCTCACTAAAATCCCAAAACCCTAACTCGGTGAGTAGCATCATTCCATTTAAACAATGCAGAAACTCTGTACTTTAGATGAAGTAGATTGAATGAGACTTAGAACCACTTAAGCATATGTTAGTGTATTTTCATAGCGTATCATCTTAGTTAAAAGCTGCCTTTTATTATAAATACTAGCTTTGCCAGACCCATCATAAAAGGTTGGTGTTTTGTATATAAAATAAATAAATAAAAACCGGGAGCTCCCGCCCTTCTTTCAGCAAGCTTTGTTCACCAAACTTCCCCCTTCATCATAAAAAAAATCATACACCGAGAACATAAAAACGATTTTCAAATAAACTCTCAAAAAATCAATAAGAATGGTCCAACTTATACTGAAAATGACTAAGAATAAGAGTTTTATACACAACAAATTTCCAAATGGCTTTTATGTGTATTAGACCATTTATCCAGGGTAGTAATAAAGAACTCTAGGCAGAAGGAGTCCAAAGCCTTACTAATATAATCTTATCATCCAAACCTTATCTCATAATGTCCCACCAAAAATTCTTGAAGTATACCTGATTTACCTATTTCAAGATGTCTTATTTAAGAAACTCTGTGGTAAGTGAAATATTTCACAAATGCACAAAGCTGAAGTGACCTATACAGTTAAGATTGTTGTTGCCCCTGTAAGTTGATGTGACCTATGCAGTTAAGATAGTTTTTTGCATTTGTAAGTTTGAATCTATACTAGCTGGAATTCCCATTCTCTGGACAGAAGTTATGTAAATTCATGATTAATGAAAGGTTATCTTAGGGCATGAAAACTTGCTTCCCTTGCATGTATCTTCGCATGGACCCAACAAACCTTCTGCCAAATTTGGTGAAGAACCATCAAAAGGGGTACAAAGTAGCGGTAAAAGATGCAAAAACACAAAACATAAAACTGAAAATTTGTATGCATCTCCCCATTAACTCAATGAGCCTCCATAACAAATTTGGTGAAGATCCATCTACAGGGTGCAAAGTAGTGGTAAAAAATGCAAAAATGCTCATAAAAACCACAAAATGCAAAACTGAAAATTTTTATGTATCCCCCCCCATGGACCAAATGAACCACCATACCAAATTTGATGAAGATCCATCTACAGTGGGCAAAGTAGTGGTAAAAACTGCAAAACTGAAAATTTGTATGTAACCCCATAAAAATTTTGGTGAATAAACATCCATCCACACCCCTGCAAAGTAATTACATGGACAGACAACAGACAGTACCATTATATTTATATAGATATAGTTTTATTGCTAAGCAACACAGATGAACAGAGCTTTACCAAACTGACTTTTATATATATGATATATAACACATTAGTAACCAAATAAACCAATTACATTGAAATTTCCAACCAAATAAACCAAATATTAAGCCCCAACACAAACCCTAAAACAATTAACAACAAAAACAAATGGGAAGTATTTCTTTAACACCAAACTTCGTTGTTAGAAAACAAATAGAAAAAGTATGAAATATATCAACTTGGCTCTAAAACTGCAAGTCTTAATAAAATTCTAAGCTAAGAAAGTGTTACTCTACATTATCTTCACTCAGTATAAAATAAACCAGTCTCCCTTGAATCATTCTGTAAAGCACATTAATCTTTACAGTAAAATTAGTGCATCCACTTTGTTTGAAAAACCACACAATGGATAAATACATGCAAGCAATGCCCAAGCAAATGTTTCTTTTTTCCTCAAGAAAATACTGAACATACCCTCTACTTGGCATAAAAATTGTGATCAAATAAAATTTGTACATTAATTAAATATTGTTATGAGACAATGTTTTGAAAAATATGTAAAAAATACCCCCCCCCCCTTGTGTCCTGGAATTTAATATTCTCTTATTGTTGATCAGAAAGTTCCATTTTATATTTCCCATCAATTTGCACTTTCTTTTGAAAGTTCATTTTGTTAATTGCAGCAGCCACCACTTCTGGCTATAAATTGTAAAAAAACAGTTCATAAACTGGCAAATTTATCCATGACCTAAATAACATCTGATCAGAAATGCAAGTTAACTTTTTTTTTACATTCTTTCTTTGCAAATTGCATGAAATAAATGTTACATAACAATCAAATATCAGTTTTAAAATACTTATGAGTAAAAAATTCTGAAGTAGAGTTCGAATTATAATTTTCTTAAATTTTCAAACTTGATGTGCAATGGCACTTGACACTAGAAAGGTTCTCAGCAGTCATAATATTGTTAAGAACTTTAATATTCACAAATTCTCTTAACTGAAGTACCACTAACAGCAGAAAATGAACATCACCAATCCTGACCTTATGTTCCAAAATGTTAATAGTATATCCCACATTCTCAAAGTAAAACTATGCATTTATAGCCTTGTATACTATATCAGTGATCAGCTTATGTTTGTAATTGGAGAAAAGCAAACAAGTTCACACATTCATCACAAAAACCATAAAATACAAATTTACCTGTTGGAACACTTCCCCAACATACTTCTAATGTTGTTGTTGAAGCTCTTACAAGCTGAACACGAGATGGTGGTGGTGGTTTTTCAGTTTCCAAATACCACAAGTCCTTACAACAAACCTACAACAACCAAGTAACTTTTTTAATGTATGTGTACACATTTAAGGAAAGATATTTCAGCCACCTGTCATTAATTAATATGATAACAAGTTAACTGATACTTAGCTACAAGAAAAGAAAAGTACAAGTTTATCTTTAACCCATAAACCTATGAACATAACACTGTTCTCAGGTAGGTTTTTACAATTTCTTATTCTTCCTACACAGTTAAAAAAATGTAGTTTGGAAATTAGATAATCACTTCTTACCTGTTATTAAGTTGAATATACAGAAGATTTCTAATATAACTATGCTGTGCAATTTATAAACAAGTTTAATTATATCACAATTGTCTTAAGTAAAAACATTTATTTAACTGACTAAGAGGTAACACAATGTAAACAACAAGAAGTACACATCTTAGAAAAGCCTTATTTAAAATTAAAATGAACAGTTACACACACTGGTTAAGCTTAGAGTGGCTCCTAAAACTGAACACATTCAATGATACAAACAGTAAATGAACACAAGATTACTGTTACTTGATTTATGTGAGATAGAAATCATTATTCATATTCGTTCATGTCCCCACGTAAACATTCCTATTTATGTTTATCGCATGCACAGCTATGATCAATACTAAATTATGGGACAAGAACGTGAGAGCATAATTTTTTTTTCAATTACACTGGCTGTTTTTTTGTTTTTTTTATAGATTGTAGGATCCATTTGAAACAGTAAACTACAAATGATATAAAGGCCTACTACAATCTCTTATTTTATTTACTAATTTTCAGCAGTTATTTCATGATTATAAAGTTATTAATTTTATATTTATAAACACATATAAAAAGAATACGGCAGGAAAAATTGTAGTAACTGCCAGCACAGTCTGTGAAGTGAAACGTTTCTGTGACAGAGTAATTTCTGCTATAAGTTCATAAAAATTATAAAAAAAACAAACATTTATGATATATTAGAGGGCTTTCTAACATGAATATTGCCTAAATAATGAATTTCCAAAGGATCCAGTTTGATCATTAGCACCGTTTTGTTGACTCACAAAGACTCAATTTCCAATCTCTCCACTTATTGGCTGATCAACTCTGAATTCAAACTGCTATGTGAACATGCTTCTCATTCTGTGCCGTATGGTTCTGTGATGACTGATGGTGTCTTATTTTCAAACTTACAAATGAATAAATTATTAATTTTCTGGAATTAAAATACTTAACCACATTAAAATAATTACTTTTCTCTCTCTAAAAAATATGTATACATAATAAAATTGTTTGTATACTTTTTTGTCTATACTTTAAGAGTGTTTGGGAGATATGATCTAAGGTTGTTTGTAGTTAAGCACAATGCTATACAATGGGCTATCTGTGCTCTGTCCAACACAGGTATTGAAACCCAGTTTCTAGCAGTATAATGATCTATGGAAATGACTCGCACAGAACAAAATTATTTTATGATGATTGACTTTCACACAAACATTTCATTTCTGACTTTACATTTTAATGTATAATCAGTTTATATAACCTAGTGCTTACTCTATATCTTCTAATTTCAAAGATTTAAGTGCTTTAACTTATATGTTACTAAACTAACCGTAGAACAATAATTTTTTATCAACTCATTGCTTTCAAAATTAAAAATCATGCTCTTAACTAAATCATCTTGATGTCATCTTAATGAATATGCAACAGTTAAACACACACAAATGTAGTACGTATAACATTAAAAATTCTACTGGGTTTAATCAAGAGAGATGGGGAGGAAAGTTTCTTTAGATAAAGAGCATACCTTAATTGTGAAGTGTAATCAATAAAAATACCATTCAGAACAAAGACTAATATAAAATATTTCTGAATAGCTTCAGCTCACCAAAGAATTAATTTTTTCAATCTTAGAAACACAACTTGCTTATAATTCCATAAACAACACTACTTGTACTTGTTAAACCAAAATGTTACCCTTCCCCATGCATTCAGCACCTTAAGACAGTTACAAAAAAAAAGTAAAAAGATTCAATTTTTATCTATGTTGAAATGCCTCACTAAAAATAAAACTTTCTGAAAAAAGAACATACCGCTTTTCTTAAACAAAAACATTCTGACAAAACAAGCTACTATGAGGTATAAAATACAGATTATTTAATATCACCAAATAGTTAGTAACAATAACTGAAATATTTTATACAATACGCTTAAATGCTATTTGTAAGCTAATATATATATTTTTAATTAGTACACATGTAAGCCAGAAAAAAAAGTAAATGTTAAAGATTTATTTGCCTTACTTGATTATTCCAAGCTTTTCTGTAACCATCTCGTCCACTCCAGATATACAAACGACTATTGATTGCAACAGAACAGTGGCCAGCACGAGCTCTAGGTACAGCATCTTCAAACACTTCCATAGCTAAGGGCTCCCATGTCATTGTTTCTACAAAAAACAAACAAGCAAAATGAATTTTTTTTTAAATTAAATCATAACAAGGTTTGCATTAAAGTGATGAAGAAACTGACCGCTTTTGTGTATTTGACCTATGAACTAGTCACAATAATCATGACTGGCCTAGCATAGCAAGAGAGGTATTTCAAATACTTTCTGGTGACACAAACAGAACTGATGCAGTGTGATACATGACTGCAATGTACTAACTTATAGACTGTTCAAATCAGTTACTATACCACTGCTACCTTGTTATTACTAAGATCTGCTGCTCTTTGGTTTATGTGTTCATTAACTTTCCAATTGCTTGTATATACAACATGAGATTGCCTGATGTGATCCCACCCTCCACAGACTTGCACAAAAAAATAGTATAGCATTGTAATAAAATCTGCCAAAAATAAGGAAAAAAAAAAAAAAAAAAGATTTTGGGTTGATTTCAGAGTGCTGTAAATGAAATTATCTGTATTTGTCAAATTTTTTCTGAGCATAATACTGCACTCATAGCTTCCTAGGAAATCAGTTGTAATAGTTACAACTAAAATAGTACTAATTTAACTTTGTAATTTGAATACAAGTGTAGTTTATTTTTAACCAATAGCTGCTTCTGAAACTTGGATGTCATTGTGTGATGTAATTACCTATACCTTAGCTTTGAGAAGTGATATAACCAAAGCTATTTTTTCATTATTTTCAACTGCCTGAGATTTAACCGCTTTCAGTTTAATAGAAATAAGTAAAAGCTTAGCTTGGTGATATGTTGTTACAAGTACAATTACTTCTGCTACAGTTACAGTCCTAATTTTTTTTTGTAAACCATATAAAATTATGGATGAAATAAAAATCAGTAATTAAAATTCACAACATATGTAAGCATTTTTCATTGATTCTTAAAAATACATCATAACAAGATCTTTTCAATATTTCAAGGCTGTGAATTCATATAAATATGGCATAAAATATTTTATTTGCAGAAGCTACGTAAATCTGTAAAAGGTTCTCCCCAAGAATCAAACTTTTTTATCCAGTAGTTTTTCTTATTATCAATACAATAAAACAAACTATGGAACATGCACCAACTCAATGCAGTTGGTTCTCTCTCACAGAGTGAAACACTTATTGTTCAGCTATCAAACAAGCATTTATTTAACATTAGTAAAGAAAAACTGAACTTGTTTTCTTGTGACATCATGTTATATTCCAAATTTTTTTTTATTGAATTGGGTACAGTAGGCATATTATTACTCAAATCAGTAAACCAAAATATCATTTAGTTTGAAAAACTTTCTATATTCACCCAGTAAAAATCTAAATAACTTTAAACATAAATATTCCACTCTGATCTGTAATTTTTGAGATTACATAAAATAGTTTGAAATGAAATTCATGACTTTAAATAATAAGTTTTATAGAAAAAATGTCTTTTGTAAAGAAGAAATTTTACATATCCTCGCTATTTGAGGTTAAATTATAATGACGCGTGTTTTAGTGTTACACTATAATAATGCCATTTGTAATAATCATTGTTGTTCTAAAATAAACCTTATTTGATTTCATAATGGTTAAGATTTTTAATTCTTTCAGTTCTGTGTTTATCAAACTAAACAGGTATGAAATAATCATTTTAAGCGACTTGCTACTGAACACAGCAGCTACTACAGTGTGGCTGTTAAATTTAAATCTTCTTTTTCTATAACTATTTCTCATGTAGATTCATGATTTAAAGGTGTTTTACTTTATATTACATTTACATGGATCAAAAACCAATGTTCAACTAAAACAGGGGTAAAAACAAGATAAAATCCAGTCTTCAGCTCAAATGATCAACATCTCGGTCAAAGAAACAGTTTGTAAAAAAAATACCAATCACATTTGTATTTATGATAAATGTCAAAAGAATCATTATGTATAAAGTTAGACACTTTAGATAAAAGATTAATTATATATATTACAAATGCATAAATGAATATCTCAGCACCAAAGAAACAATAGTTTTGGTTTATGTTCATGATCACGCTTGGACTATAGGAGTGGTTAGAATGAATTTCAGCTCTGGAAATTTGGCCAATGATTCTTCTTCACAATTGGTTCAATTTTATCAATTAATTTAAACACCTTTATAGATATGACAAATTAATCACGGTCATCTTAAAAATTCATTAAATTTCATAAAATTTTTAAATTGTTCCTTTTTATGTTAACTAGCAAAAATATTGCATTTGTTTTCAGTTACTATGTCGAAAGTAAAGAAAATCATTATCTTTACATTCATAAATTAACCATATGAAAATAAGAAGCAAAGACTTAAGAAAGAAATTTGTTTATAAATAAACAAGTAAGCATAAGGATGAAAACATTTTTTTTTATTGTCATGTATTAAGCATAAATTAGGAAAACTAATTACACATAAAAATGTGTAAAATTACAAAAACATGAAAGCTCTAGTATTAACAACAAATGAAAATGTAACTGACATGTCTCTTGCATAGCAGTACACATTACAAGTATGTTAAGAATGAAATCAGTATAAATGGTTGTAAAACACTATTTATACAAGAAATATACAATCTAATGGGCAACACTTGTAATGAGTATATAATAAGTACACAATGTAATAAGGACATGTCTTAGTACATTGTAAAAATAATTTTGAACACTATAATGCAATGTGCCACTATTTTCCTTACTCCAGATTTCAGAAACACCTTCCAAAAATATTCTCTTGTTGGTGTATTTGACAATCAACTGAGATGTGCATTAGGTGATCCAAATTGTCTTTTGTTAGGCAATTTCCAAATTCAGTCATATTTCATCTACAGGTACTGAAGTTGCTTCAGATTTTCACAGTAACATTAGAGATTACCAGGACTATATTACTAATCTTTGACAAGATTAGATAAGTATGACAAATCCCTGGTTCCATTCACACCGTCATAACATCATTCTGGAACACATAACTCACCCTTTTTTGCATAGTGTCAATACATACTTTTGAAAAACGTACCACTAAACTTTGAGATCATTCAACCCGTATTTCAAATCATTAGTGGTTAGAGCTGGGTTGAAGAAAGAACAATTCTGAAAGACAACCATAATCCTGTCAGTGAATCTGCATGTTATATTTAAAATAAATGAATAAATAGTTTAATAAATCGTAAAAATAATTCACAAGTTTTTAGTGATTCAAAAAGGTGTTTGCTGATTGGTTCACAAATTTGTGAGCTGTTTATACTGGTCAATATAGTTTCATAGTTTTCTCACTTGAAATTTCTTAACTCAAAGTAATTGTAGAAGAACAATCAAGTATTTTGATACTGATATGAAATGCTTTTTGATTTAACAGTTTTAAAATGGAAAGAAATGTCACAATGCATGTAAAATTACAACTGTATGCATACTGAACATATTAGTAATCCATCTGCTACAGCAAAATCACCAATACCTGACTACAGTAGAAACACAATGCTTGATTTAAACCAGGGTCATTAATAAGGGTTTTTTTTTTTCATACTAATGAAACCAATGTGAATGCATGATAAAACTGAACAATGAATTTAGTAAAGCCAGGGATTCTTTTATATCAGGAGCAGAATCAGCAACATGGACAAATAGCTAGTTGCTCCTAGTGTACTCAGCACCATTTGAATAGAATGTCTTCACAAAATCACCCTTGAAACATACCCTGGACTCCTTGATTATCGCTACTCATGACAGAGTTACCTTGTGATCAGGCATGCACCTTCCTGTGGTGTGTATTTCATTTTTGAAAATCAGAAACTAATAAATCTATGATTGATTCAGCACTTTTTTTAGTGATCATTATTAAAGATCAATATTTTTTGACAACTTTTACCCGATTCATTATATATTCTGAGTGAAATACACAATTTAAAATGTTTGCTTATATCAGTTCTTTCATTAGTAATCATTACAAAGTGGCAAGCTTGATGAATTTTCTTTGCACCTTCTATATCTAGAAATTTTCCTGAGGCTACAAGGAAGTCTTAAGCAGTGTGTTCTGATGCATTAACAAGCAACCTCAAGCCTACTTCTCAAAAATTATATTTTACCCCTAAGGCCTAGCCAAGTGATAAAAGTGAAGTATAAAAAGTTGCATGCACTAGTTCAAGTAAAATAAGGTAATAAGACATTGATAAGCCACTAAAAAAAATGAAAATTTTCTTGTTTTTGTACGACTAATGAATAGTAGTGTTGTTTGCTAACAGTTCCTCTGGATTCTGTGACTTCATAGTCTGGAAAGCTTGAGTATAAAACTTTGAATTTGTGTCATTAGTCAATTTTTATTTTGCTTAGGCACCAGTTTCTGAATGGTAAAGTTACAAAATATCCCTCTGTAACCTGTATCACCTCATTCTATCCTGGAAGTATTTGCTTCCAATAAGCTAAACAATTTTTACACATTCCACCACTCTGCTCTTTATCCAGACACAACAAAAAACATTTTTGAACACAGATGAGGAGGTGATGGATGCACTGTTTCTTGTTGATGTTGTGGTTGTCATTCTTGTTGGATTTCAGAAACAGCTGGTTGTTATCTATGTTGTCTTTTGCAAATTATAAACTTATATCCATCTAAACCAAAAAGAAAAACAAAATGTTGCTCAAATCCATGGTTCAAATACAAATAAGCACATTGCTTAGAAAGCATAGGTATAGCAGGTTATATGACATGGCCAAACTGATGTTAAAACTGATTTGATAAAATGAGTAAAAATTATTATACTGAATCACCATGTAAATTTTTCAAAGTTTTAAAAATGCACTTGGAAATCAATAAAAGAAATAAAAATACTCGTACCTGTGTCTTGCTTCACGTTTTGATTAGAATATCAAACTGCCAGAACTTGACACCACAGCTTGAAGACTTCCAAAATTATTTGATCCATCTCTAACACATGATGAGGTAACCATATGTTCATTGTCTTTGCTAAATCAATCTCAGTATTATTTGGGACATACCACCAGGGCATCTTGGTTCATTCCCAGTATATGTACCTCACAATCCACCTTTGTTCACAATTATCAAATATTAAGATAACTAAAACAGGTGATTTTATAATTTTTAAAATCAGTTAACAAACTGAATAAGCTGCCTATTACAAAAGCTTTGTTAATTTGGATAATAAAACTGGAAATAAAGAGTTCGGTGCTTATGACTTTCTTCTCGAAATGGCAATTGTGTCCATCTATTGAATTAAAATTTTTGTTGTTGATGTATTAAACATAAAATTTTACCTAAGTTCAAAGATGCTAGAGTGTTTGTGCACTTCCATTCTTTTTCATGGGTTGCTGCTTTGCTGTCATCCATCACTAGGGGGACCCAGCCTCCAAAGACAAACATTCTGGTACCAATCAAAGTAGCAGAATGCAAACTGCGAGGAAGTGGAGGTATGCCGTGCACCAAGGGCTTATGCCATTGCATTGTATCTGAACCACAAAAAAAGTCTATTACTAAATAAAACCTTAAACAAATTTGTACAATATACAGAAAATTTCAATATATAAAGTAATATTCCAAAATAAATATTTTAATATTATGGTTATTTCTCAGCTCTTGTCTTATTATTATTGTTATTTATGTGCTTCTATATCAAGATATTACATATAATAAAGAATTTACACTTTAAATTTGCTTTCCAATTCACTGAACCCAACCCTAATAAATGTTTGTGTCATTTATTTTACAATTTATTCCAACATTATAAAACACTGTTTAATGAGAGCACAAACCAAATTTTTTAAAGTGCTTAGTATTATCTGAATAGCTATAAAATAATTTCAGTTTATGCATGGACAATTAAAAGTCAAGGTATATTTTCATATTTGCTTATCTAACTAATGTTTTGTTAAATCTACTCCTGTTCTGTAGTACACCCACTAAATGTAAACTAATTATAATAGGTTATCATAATATCAAATTAGACATAAACAACTTCTTAATACCTTAACATTGTTACACAGAATAATATTAGTCCTATTTAATAACAACTGTATCTCCACTTAATATTTTTTAATAGTCACAGATCTTTACTAATGCTAAAATTCAGTGAGCATTACTAATGAAAATTTCAATACGAGCTATTTCTGCACTCAAACTTACCAGTTATAAAGCCAAGAACCACTTGGACTATTCTGGTACCAACAACAAAAATAACTTTTTGTAAATAATTCAATTTAGGCTATAATACTCCATTAATGGTAATTGTAAGGATTTTAGGAGTAAAAAAATAAACTTAATACGAGACATATCACCATTTATATAAAACAGCATAAACACTTAAGGACTATAATGGACCTGTTGCCCCATTTAGACAATCCCATCTACTAAACTAACCAACAAAACAAAACACTCAAAGCCAACCCTTATTAAGCCTTCTTTAAATTCCATTAAATTTACTGCCTCCACCACATCTCAAGACAACCCATTCCAAAGGCCAACTACCTTGTTAGAAAAATAAAAATATTTTAGATGAAGACTACTCTTATCCTGCCAAAACTTGTATATGTCCCCTAGTCCTATCATTGTCATTGAGGTCCTAATAGTGAGTCTTAAGGAATCCTACAGTCTGACCAAACTCCATATATAAAAAACCCTCTGCTTTCTACCATCCAGCTATGTTTCTATCCAATGAGCCATTTTATCACCCACACCTAAGGAGATTACTACTTTTTTACCAAACCTTTTATGTGGCACTTTGTCAAATGTTTTTGAACACTGAAATACATCAAATTCACATTCTTACCCTCCTCTACATAAGCAGTAACCTCTTCAAAGAATATTAAAACATTAGCAAGGCAAGGTTTTCCCCCAGTAAAACCATGTTGACTATCTAACACAATTTTGAATTTTGTTAAATGACTTCACAGTGCATCTTTTATCAGACTTAAACACTTTTCCCACTATTGATATAAGACTAACAGACTTATAATTACCAGGGCAATTTTCCCTGCACTCTGAGCTGATATTAGATTTATGTTTGTAGGTTCCTGAATACATACAACTTTGTTGTTAAACCTTATTTGGAACTTCATAATTACATTTTTCTACAAAAACAAATTATTTTTCCTTTTTTTACATGCCCTTTAGTACATTTTTGCTATGATATTACATATCATACTTTTCTGCCATATTTTCCTCCAACACAATCATGAGATTAAGTGAAAATGGCTAAAAAACTACATCGAGATTAACTTTAGTGGGTGCTCAGATTAAGTTCCTGAAGCAACACAAGGATTAAAATATATATTAAGCCATGGAGTATGTTGCGGAAAAAATAAAGTTACAAAAAACAAATAAAAAGCATACAGCTGGAAGATTTTTTGGCATGATAATGTTTGAAATTATATATATTTTTTATATCAAAACCCTAAAACATTTTAAAATATTTCTGATTTAAAACTTTTAATGTTAACTTACCTATTTCCAATTGCCATAAATCGCCAAGCCGACACCCACTCATACCACCGTAGATAATCAGACGGGGGCGCTTGTTGTCAAAACTGTAATACCCCACAGCTGTATGAGATTCTCGTGGAGGTGGAGGCTGGCCATACACTTGAGGAATATCCCATGTCATAACACTAGAGTAGGGTTTCAGTTCCAAGGTACACAGATCATTCAAGTATCTAAAAAGAGTAAAAGATGACCATATATTTATATTTGACTTTTCACAAGTAATTTTGCAATCTATACATAGGCTAACAAGTAAATTATAAACATTCAAAGTTGAAGTAAAAAGCCACATTTAATACTACTACTACTACTACTACTATTAATAATAATAATGAGGAATGATCAAGGTTGTATTTACGGGGGTACCGGGGTCAAAATTTTGGTGACTTTCTAGTAATTGAAACTTCAAATTTGGTTAAAACACCAGAAACTGTGGCATAATCAAACAGATTATCAGCAAACATAATGCATAATTTTAGAAGTAGTAGATAGAATTATGTCTCAATCACTTGCTACTTAGGTGGAACTGAAATAATCCTCCTATTATATAGGAATAGCTTTTCAATTAAACCAAGTGTAATGAGCAAAGTCTCAATTAAAGGCTCAGATCAGAAATAATAATCAGCACATGCCATGGTTAACACATTTGTTAAGAAGCTCATAATAAAATATATATGTAGTTTTTTGATGAGTGACACTACTAATAAAAAGCAGTATAAAAAACAACACTATTATTATATATATATCTAGCTAACATCCCTTAATGTGTATGGACAAGATGATCAGACTCCCATCGAGTTCCAAAATTAAGCTTGCACCTTATTCTTACTTCAGTTTTGTGCCACAATCTCAACAAACCCAGTTTTAAATACTTTTCTCAGCCTGAGGGAATCACAGGTCTAGGACAATTTAACCAAAAGGTAACACACTTTATTTGATGTTCATGAACATGCAATTCCTCACTAAAGCATAGATAGAAGAGTAACCCACACAGACTGTAAAACAAGATAATTATTCTTACCAGACAATGGTTAATAGTTAATACAGTTTAATAAAATTAACAAGTAAACAGTGCACAACATATATAAGCATTAATAACTTTTATCATAAGTATACTTGATCACTGAAGTGTTCAATACCTGAAACTAATACTTTCTTGGTTGGTCAGTTTGAACCTCTCTCAAGAGATATATATTTTGATAGTGTATATGGCTTTAGCCATCCAACATGCATGATGATATGCCCCAGGAGCTCTGAATGTCACCTCAGAGGAAACCTTGCCTACTAGAAACACAAGTGAAAGCTTCAAAAACTCTTCGTAATTATCTCTGGGATATTATTTCATTTGTAACATCTTATTAAGTAAAGCACTGCTTCGTCCCTATCCTGTTTCATTGTGCTGATGAAAAGAAGGTAAATATCTTTGACATCATCAGCAGCCATGAAGTGCAATTTGTCAAGTGATGCCCATCATTCTTGGAATCTGATTTCTGGTCTACTCGATGGACCAATAGTCCTGGCAAATACCACTGAAAGCATAATTTCAAATATATGGTGTTGGCAAACAATCCAAATAAGATTTCTTTCCAGAACTTGTTCGACTGAACCCAGTGTTTGATGCAGTTGTATCAAAACATATTCATTGAGTAACTTCTTGGAGCTTCCACTCTTGAAGGACACAAACATTTGATTACTGCTTCTCCATGCTAAGGGTGATTCTTGGCACTCACAGGAGCTTCTCGTTTTGTTGTCCCTATGGTTGTTAACTATCCTAATAAACTAGCATGTCTGTCCTCCTTTAAATATTGCATATAGATCAATGTTTTATGCTGAAGCAGTTTACTGTTAGTCTAACAAAACCATGAATTATATAACACTAACAATGTTGGGTTTAAGTAAAATTACACAGTAGGATTCTATAAGCATAAATCTGGGTATACACATGGAAGATAGCATTGTGTCAGCCAATAAAAATACTTTAAAGTATTCATTATTTTAAATTTAAAACAACCTTCGTATATACCTGGGAATGTTATTCTTTGGGTCATCACTGTCATTTGCAAGTCCTCCAAACAGGTAAACTTTACTGCCAATAAGAGTAAAGCTGTGGCCAAGACGAGGACATGGAGGTGATCCATTCTTTGGTGGACGCGGCTTAAGCCTTTTCCATTCCCACCGACTGGCCTGAAGTTCATACAGCTCATTAGAGTATTTACCATACTCCACCATGCCCCCAAAAACCAAGAGTCTTGTACTGTCACAAACAAATCCATAGGCTGCACAACCAGGTGGTATATCTCCTTTTACTGGTGGTACAAACCATTGATTTGTGGCTGTAAAAAAAATATTCAAAACTGAGAAAATTGTATGAAAATAAAACTTAAGTTTTTTTTTATATTTTAAGATATAACTTTACTTCAAATTCTAAATGACTAGATTTCAAACTATTAATATCTTAAAACTGACCCTCAATAAATCAAAAGCAAGGTCTTCATCTGTGTTCCATAAAGTATGAAAAAACAAATATCAAAATTCAATCAATCAAAAATCTACAACAGCTATGTTTGCAACATCAATATTTGTACCAACTACAGGCACAAATTTAGAAACTTACATACTAAAAATATTTTATTACCATAATGAATAAACCAGAAATTACTGGTATATACAAAGCACAAAACCTTCTTGACATCTTAAACAGTGAATCACATATGTCCTGTATACTGACTAAATGATCCTACTGAAGTAATTTTTGAATCTACCCCCACCCATCCATTTCATAAATTCACAGTTTTATGAATTTTATATAAAACAGTTTGGACAATCATATACAATATAACAAATTTACTGTCAGTTGTTCTTGACTTACACAAATGATATATCATGGAAAAAGGGACTGCAGTCACTGTGTATATTTAACATAAGTATGATGACAGAGAACCATTTGGCTCATGCTTGATAATAAAGCACATATCATTGACAGGTGATAAAAATAATTTTCAGCTATATCCAGCATTCAGCAGTCACGACAGGCTAATTCAAGATGAAACTTCAGAGATTATTGAATTTTACGCAAAGATACTCAAAGACTTTCTGCACTAGTTGTCCCTAATTTTGAAGTTACAGACTAGAGGAAAGGTAGCTAGTGAACAACATTCACTGCAAAATTGTAGGCTACTCTAATTGAATAGTGAGATTTGATTGCCATTTTTTGCTAAAGCACCCATGGCCCAAAAGTGCAGGGTGCAATTTTTTTTTTTAGGTAATGTGGCATGAACCATGGAATCTCAGATTCACAGTACAATCCACTAACCACTGGACGGGGCTTGACCTGAGATTTTAGAGATTTGTTTGACATAAAAAACTTGGTATAGACTTCACTCATATACACACACACACACCTTTAATCAACCTAGCTAGACTAATAAGATCTGGTATAGGTCAAAAGTTTTGTACTGCATTCTGAACCACTTCTAGGTGAAGAGAAACTAAATGCTAAATCTAACTGGAAAAACAAGGTAGCTTCACACTGTCTTTTGTTGTGGATGAAAGAGTAAAAACATGAATGTGTTTACAAAAATTAATGAATTTACCCAACAAATAATAAATCTAGACTCATCTGACCAAATAACACAAATATTTGAAAATTTTTTGATAACATTGTAAGGTTATTTGAAACTTTAGTTTCTTGCTTTTACAACAGCCTCAAACAGAATATTCTATTCATTTACGAATCAAAAAAGAGAATACTGAAAATTAACTAAACAAAGACCATAAAGGAGAACAAGATATGATCATAATTACAGATTTAATAATACGTAAAAAAAATATATACAATAGGGTATCTACAATACACAAAATTCAAATTTTGGCTACATGCAAAGAAACAGTCAGAAATCCTCATAAATGTTAATTTAATTCCACCCCCACCCCCCATTTTAAGTGATGCTGATATCTGCTGAGCATAGCTTGTTCTTAGTATTAGGTTTGATTGTAACATTTTTAATGTGTTTTAAGTCCTGCTATTTACATACAGAAATACTTGTGGTGTGTGTGTGCATGCATACAATATAAGACAAATGAAAGGAAACAGAAATTACAACCTGTTTAAACATTTATGTAAAATCTGATATAAAAATATAAACTCTGGGGCATTCACCTTGCTAAAGAACTTTCACAAAGTATTCTTCCTGTACAGTAGGATTATTGAAAATTGCAATTTTTTTCATTAAAATGCATTTTTGTAGCTAATACTAGAGAAAAGTTAAAAATGTAGGATCATTAAAATCTGAAAGGCTTAAAAAATTATATTATTTAACTTAATAATTATTATTTAAACCAAATTTCTTCAAAAACTTGTTTTAAAAAGTTACTATACAACCATATATTTATGAATATTAAGACTGCTATTTCTATATCACTTACATTTCATTGTTTTTTTTGTATGAAAATGTGGTATTGGAGTTTTTAAAAATAATTTTTGTGTATTTGATAAACATTATTACATTTAAGATTTTGACATGGTTCCATGTATTACATGGGTTTGTTAAACAGTAATGAAATATACTACTCTGAAGTGATCTGTACTTTTTGAACTCTATTACAATAATAGCCACTTGCAAGGACAACTGCTGTGTATTAACTTTTTGCATTTACGTTTCTGGAATCAGAAGAAGTTGAACTTATATATAGACCTAAAGTTAATAACCCGAGTTTTAACTTCTTAGTTATAATGTATTATTCGATGTATATATATTGTTACGATAAACATATTATTAATAAACTAACAATAAGATACAAAACTAGAATTTAATAGTTTTGTTAAAAATATATGTATGTATGCGTGTATCCTCGTAATTAATTTATTATTTATCACAGACAATGACTTAATATCATTCTCATTTAAGGTACATAGAATGTTGCAAGTGTTTTAAGCCTAACAAATGATAGCGGGATGAGGCTTAGGGCGCCGCCATGTTGAATTGAACAGAGACTACTAAGAATAATTTTCACAAACTTTCAAACTGGTTTGAACAACATGTCACCAACTACGGTGTAATATTATGTATTTCATAAAAGTACAAATAAAATGTACTAACAAAAAATATAAATATCAAAACATTTTGGCAACAATAATTTCACTTCCCGCCCTTTGAAGCCCAGTTGCCAATGGCAATACACTGTACAGACAGACCGCCATATTAGTTTTCGGTCTTCCTATACCTTAACCGTTAGGCCTAAGAAAAACTCATACTTACATGTATTATAAACATGAAGTTCGTCCACAATTCCTTCGTTGCCTCCTCCAAAGACGATCATCAGATCTTTGATAGAAACTGCTCTATGACCATGTCGAGGTCTTGGAGCAGGACCTGTTGTATTTGTCACCCGCTTCCACTTCAGTATGGGTGCCGCCATTTTGTTTCATACCCATACAACTGGTAGACACTTACCAAATGCCCGGATGATAAACATCTTTAAAAATACACAGAATATATTATGTAAGATTTACAGATAATATTTTAAGCATTTTAACCTGCATTATTAGCGTTAGAGAAATCTTAAAACTTTCTTATATGTTATTTTACAATTTTAATTAAGAATTAAAATTTTTTACAAAATATATGTTTTCTGTGACCCTTTTATTTCTTCAGTTCCCGGATATTTAGATCAATCATATGTGTTTATGTACGACCTTGCCTAAGAAGGAAAGGGACCATTTATATATTTGATCTGTTAATACTTCTGCGTTATACAAAATAGAATAAATCCTAGAGTTTAATTTTGTTTTGAAAATGAGAACGCTGTCTCGTCAATGAATTTAAATTTCTCAAAATAAAAAGATACCTCTATTCATAATACAAGAATTTTATAAACTACTTATCGAAAGTATTTAACCAAAATATGGACAAAGAATACCAATTAGATGAAAATAATACTAAATGGCTATTAGACAAAAAAATGTTAAAACATATTAAAGACTCCAAAATCTTTATACAAAACAGTTGTTATAGTTATAATATCACATTGGCCTACACAATAAATTAATAGTTCTCCTACCAAGCATATTAGAAGTAACTTTTTATTTTGTGAAATAATAATAAAATATTAGGCAATAATTTCTATGTCCTTCTGTGAATATTTACAACTTTTCAAAGCGTATTACCACATTTCTGTTTCCTTCCTGCGTTTAACTTCTACTTACCACTAAATGTATCATAAAAATTTAAAATTTTGTGAGCGGAGTATTCTAACACAAGTAAACGGAAAACATTATTATATTTCGCACTATTTTTCATGCAATGCTTGCAGCTGAAGTATCTCGCGAATGACCAACAAAGCAGAAAAATAAGCCCGCTAATAACTGGATGTTCTCGTATGTCAAGTTTGAGTGTATGCTTCCGACGAGTTGCGACAGTTGAGTCAAAAAGAAAGAGATAAGAAAATGATTTACATAAAGAACCAAGTATTTAGTGATTCAAGGTTAACAATACAAGTAAAATATACTCCACTAACACAGTACAATACAACGGATAAGTGATCGTGTATGTTTGTTAAGAGCTTTGTTGATATCTGTCGACAGAAAGTTTAGGGCTAACAAGAGCCAATGAAGACTTTTATTGAAAATATATTCCCTTTGGTCCATTTGCCCCCCCCCCCCAATAAATTTCACTGAATGAAATGAAACCACTAAATAAAAATAACCCCAAGTTTACTTAACATAATCTCAGTTTAATCTATTTAAATACACTAGAGCTGTGAAATCCAGGTCCAACAAAATAACCACTTAAAAACGACCCTAACTGTGCTTCATGACTTAAAATGAAACAAACTCTAAAACCTGTCTGAGTAGGGCAAACGTAAACAATTCTAAATCACTGGCAAAAATCTTATGGTGCTTACACTAGACAAAATTAAAGTAAACAACAAATATATTTAAACGTTATTGAATGATGGGTGAACACCCAACACAGCACAAGAACTTTTGGAGCTTGCTTGAAATGAGAAAAAAGACACCATCCTGCAGAATCACACAACTAATGCAAGAACTTTAAGAGTCATCACTATGAAAAAAGGAAAATACTACCTTCAGCTGAACAAATTAACTGAAAAAAGCACACACACAAATCTCCATAAACTTATGTAAAAATATAGTTAAATCTGTATGAAATCTCTGTAATTCTGGTGTACATTCCATACAATTCTCTTGTTAAAATCTGTGTAATCTGCTCTCCCATTCCACAACACTGTTTTAAATATGTTAATAAACCCTCAAGTTCCTGACACAAGAAAAAACATGAGTGCCTGTAAGATCAGCTGGCCAATGAGCAGTGAAGGACAATGGCGAGTTCACTCGCAAATCTTATCTGATTTGCTGACAAAAGTAACCCAGCTCACAAATTAAAAACCACAAGAAGGCGCTTAATCCTTACATAACCTAGTTCACCCTTTAAGGAAAGAAAAAGTTAGTAACTCACTTGAGCACCATCCGGGAACTATGCAAAACAACATAATTTTGAAAAAATGTACTTGTAACTGAAAGAATGGAAAACATATAGTATTAGAACAAAGTGTATCTACTGGAAATTCGCAGCTGTTCATAGGTAACTAAACCATAAGGTTGAAAATGGCATCGGACCATAAACAGTCAAATGAACAAGTTGGAGACGTGTGACCTTTAAAGATGAATCAAAGTTTGAATTGTTTGGTAACAATTAATAACAGTTTGTTTGGTGATAGAGGAGAACGGTAGCAAATTTGATGTAGATATACAATGAAGAATGGTGGGATATCGGTACAAGTTAGGGATGCAACTCAGCCAGCAGTGTCTGTGATATAAAAAAATGACACAAGTACATGCAGATTCTGATCCATCGTGCCATTTCATCAGAAGCATGAATCATCGGGCGAGGACCTGTCTTTCAGCAAGACAATGATTCTAAGTATTCAACAAATGTGGTAAAATTAACTATTAACAACCATGCTATAATACTGTGTTTTTTCTCTCTCTCCATATATTTTCTTCACTTTCTTCAATTCATAAGTATGACCACATTCTCTGGGAACCCTATAGTCACGTGCTTACCCTTGCTTTGTATTAGATATCAGACCAGGTAATGATTGCATTGACAATCGTTTTTCAACCACCATTTTACAATTTTCAGAGAAAAGAGCACAATGGAAGATATTTTGGATATGGATATCAACTTAACAATGGAGCTAGAGTATTAGTGAATGTGCAGTGTCCTCTAACTCCCATGTCAATGAACATGAATAATTATCTCCTTATTCTCAAATTTCAGATTATATAATCATTAGCTGATAAAAGAGAAAATGAGATGCTGAATGAGATGGATTGTAGTTTGACTCATAATAACTCAAATGCCAGTCTAAAAGGGCGATCAGCAACCGCCACAAAACCCCCATTCCATTTCTGTCAGATGATAAAACCATCACAAAATTGCCAAAAGACAAAAAGCCCATGAGACATATTGTATACTAATCCGTTGGGTACCAGGAAATATTCGAATGATATCTGAATTCACTTTTCAATGAGCCTTTGTCTTGAAAAAGCGAAAGTGTCAATTTGAAGAGCTGCTGAGCAAAATGGTAACTTTCAAACAACTCAAGACTGGATTGATGAATTTATGCGGAATAACAGCTATAGTAACAACAATGAAGCATCAAATAACTTCCAATACAAAATCAACCTCTTCATCTTTGCTGATCAGATGGCTATACATCTAAGAATTTCCCATAAAACCTCAGCAACAATTCTAATCAGCTTCAACTAAAAGGCTATGATATATTGGTGTCATTGTTGCCTAGGCAGGTAAAATAAGTGAACTGCAGCTGTATAATTCTTCCTACAAGAGAAAGATTGCCGAGAGCGGGAGAAGGAGAAGAATTCAGGAGATCAAGAATGAGTTGATTATCCTAGAAAAAAAACAAAAAAGCTACCATAGGTGTTCAAAGTACTAAGGAAATATCCTCTGAATGTAGGTAATCAATTTCTGACTTAGAGGCCCTATTATCTAATTGTAGCTTTGTTTTATTTATTCTTCTACTCTACTGTTTGGTTAGTGTTAAGTGTTTTTCTTCTGTTATATATTTCCTTCCATTTTGTGTTTTCTGTTCTGGTTTATGTGTTCATTTCTATTACTCACAAATAAGAGGTAATTTTGGATTATTTCTTGAAGCTGTTTTTATGTATTTAAAGGATTTAAAACTTGTGTTTGTATGTGAAAAGTTATTTGGCTTGTTTATTTTATTTTTAAAATATATGATTAATTTTCCCAGATGTCTCTTTGTTGTGAGAATTGGAGGCTTATCTATATGATGGTTTTACCATTTTATGTATCCAAATAATTTTCTGCATTGTTTCATGTTATCTGGTTAGCTAGTTGTATTGTTGTAGTGTTAATTTATCATTAGGCGGGCTCTTTTGAATTATTAGGAACAATAATGCGAGATACAGTTCATGTAACAATAACAAATTGATTTTTTTTGTCACAGAATATATTAACTTTTAATTTTACACACGCTGTAAGCCTACGTCACAAAGAATATTTTCATTTTCAATAGAAAGTGTTATACATTGTTACCTGCGCCTAACTGACAAGTATAAACTAACAGAATTTACTGGCTAATCCATCGAGTGACTGAATAGACGCTCTAACTCACACTGTTTAATAAAATTGAACTGAAACACTAATTTAATTTTCATACACTAGTTACTTTTTATCTATAATATACACTCGTTCTTCAAATCCCACCAGATTTTTAGATTATTACGTCATCATGATTTTTTTAGGCATTCTATGGGCACTTTTATTAACTTTCTAGATCTAACGTCATCACCATCATGGTTAGTAGCTCTCTCTAGCAAACAACTAAATTATAACATTTGAAAATAAAGCTTACAACGATATGTTAGTCAAGGTCGTTTGTCATACATCTGTATCTCGTATACCCATAGCCAATCCAAACATTATAACAAGGTCTTGTACTTATTTCACTCAGTTTCTCGTGCTATTAGCATTGTGATAATACTGCTAAGGCGTGTTGTATTTTGTTATATTTCAACAAGTTTTAATAGTCATATTTCACATGGCCTGGTCGTTAGGGCGCTCGACTCGTAATCTGCGGGTCACGGGTTCGAATACCCGTCACTAAACATGCTCACTCTTTCAGCTCTTGGGGCATTATAATGTGACAGTCAATCCCACTGTTCATTGGTAAAGAGTAGCCCAAAAGTTAGCAGTAGGTGGAGTTGATTAGCTGCCTTCCTTTTAGTCTATGATTGATAAATTAGGGATGGCTAGCACAGATATCCCTCGAGTAGTCTTGCGCGAGATTCAAAACAAACCAAACCGTATTTCACAATTCCCTGCTACCTGTTAATTGTCTTGTCTCGCATTGCGAGGCTTTGCCATGTCGAAG